TACCTGACAACAACAACAACAATTTGGATTGGAACCCTCATGTTAACTGATAACATCTTCAAAGACCACATTTCCAAACAAGGTCACAGGGTAAGGTGGACAGGTTAGGCCTTCAAAATATCTTATTAAGGGACACAATCCAACCTATCACAAAACACTGAATGAATGTTATCTGAAAATATAAAATTTCATTTTGATCCTGGGCAAGATAGAACTGTGATTTTTCCAACCCCTTTTCCATAGAGAAGGAGGATCATATGTGTTGGTATGTGGCTTTTAATTTTCTATACTTTGTTTTAGGCCTCCCAGACCTGTAACCAGCATGAATGATACCCTGTTCTCCCACTCTGTCCCCTCCTCAGGAAGTCCTTTTATTACCAGGAGGTAAGTGCCAATCTTATTATGAAATATGTCCTGTCTTTGGTAATGACCTATAACTTTGTGGTAAAAGAAAAAAAAAAAAAAAATATACATATATACATAAATATATAGTGTGTGAAAATTTAGACAACATGATGAGTATAATTAATGCCACTGAAATTTATATGTGAAAAATGTAAAAGGGCAAATGTTTTGTTACATATATATTTGTCACATTAACAACAACAATAAAAAAGGATTCCTGTTGGAAACTAGTTTGCAAATACCTTTTGCTAGTTGTCAATTTCACTCATTTGGATGCGCTTGAAGAAAGCTTATTTAATTAATGCCACTTCTGACATTTATAAATAATTGACAGTAAGAATGAGGGTTATATAAAATGTTACTACCGACAGACTGGTGTGTTGTTGTAGGATCAGCACATTGGACTTCAAATCACAAGGTTGACAGTTCAAACCCTCCAGCTACTCCTCGGAAACCCTATATAGGATTGCTATGAGTCAGAACTGACTTGATAGCAATTCATAACAACTGGCAAACGTGCCTCATGTCTCATTGAGAAAGTCACTTTTACAGCTCTTGCTGTAAGTGATTGGGTTTTTGAGACGTTATGGACTCCTGGTGTGGCACTGTAGGATCAACACTGGACTGTGAACCACAAGGTCAGCAGTACAAACCACCTGCTGCTCCTCAGAAATCCTATAAAGTAGTATGTATCTACCAACCGCTCCATGTGAGAAAGTTGAGGCTTTCTGCTCCCATAAAGATTTAAAGCCTCAGAAACCCTTTACAGGGTTGCTATGTGTCAGAACTGACTCAGTGGTACACAACCACCACCACCACCACTATAGATATTATTATATAAAACCTGAAACATCTCATTATTTAAAGCTACATACACAAAAATTTTTCTTTTTGATAAATTCTAGAGTTCTTGAATCTAGAGACCTGAAAACCACACTTGGAAATGTAGTTTCTTAATAAGTCATTTCATGAATAATAGCAAGAACTCTTTAAAAAAAAAAAAAAAAGTGGCTATGTGTCTCATCTTCTTGAACAAGATCCACTCTTTGTGAACAAAGAGCAAGTGAAATGTACACATCTTAAGAGTTACGCTTTACGAATATGCACGGGTCAAGAGGGGTTCTAAGTCATTTCATCAAATATCATGACCAAAGCTCTAGATGATTTTGCAAGTACCAGAAGAATGCTCACAGGAAAGCAGAAACAAAGGTAAGGAAAACTGAAGTGCGAAATTGTACAGAAGGTCTCAAATACTTTTCAGCAGAGGGTACAAAAGTGCAGTCTCATATTTCAAAAACAAGCATGATTGGTATTTTCCCTGCAAAGGTTTCTGAGGTCCCAATATCACTGTAATATCTTGATATGTCCTAATAAGAATTTGAAGACAGACTCATAGCACTGCTATTTTTACCCCTGGGTTCCTGAATTTGCGCATCAACCTGGGGTAAAGGTGTTCCCCATAATTAGCTGAATAAACAGTATGTGGAAGTGTTTGGTGTTTCTATTACAAAAATCAAGCAAATCTTTAGCAAACAGAAATGAGGAGGTTACTGAATTGCAAAACAGACTCTCTGAAACAATATGGTTTAGGCCCTCAGTAACTTCCTATTGGCACTTCCTCTCAGAGCCACCATCGAATCCAGTCAGCCATCTTTTCTTAAAAAGAAACATCATCAGCTCTAAAGTCTGTGAGTGACACGGGCCTGTGCTTCTGTCTAGGAAAGACCTGATGTAATGTTTAGAAAGATATTGTGTTCTCATGAGGAGCTCTGCATTCTGCAAATGTCAAGCCAAGCTAGACCCCATCCTTACTGAAGGTCATTTTATATCATTTCAGCTCGGACGGTGCTTATGGTGGATACGTCTAGATGGATAACATGAATTCCTCTACCCTAACATTTCCCTATAATACTTTGAGTTGTTTTGGTTCCTCCAGGATGCCCACTAACCCAAAATATTATTTCCCTTTTTTCCTACTTTCAGTCCTTTTGGAATGTTCCCTTTGAACCAGATATGTTGTTTAAAGCTTGCAGTTCATCCTATCACCATAAAGCCTTGCCTCTTGTGTCTGTTTTAAGGCTGCTGTTCAATAAAGCTGTGTACACTGAATGCCTTTCCTCTCTGAGTGGGCCTTGCTCTGTCCATGAGGTTGAAATGAGATCTCATTGTTTGCATCGCTCAAGTTACCTGAGGGAATAAGTGCACCCACCCTGTGGCTGACAAGCATTCACTCATAATGCTGTCTGCCAGTCAGTTTGACCTCAGTGAATGGTCAGTATCCCAGTGCCGAGTCACTAATCATAGTAGTAGTTCCATGGCGAGGTTGCTAGTCATTCCATTCCATCACTTAAATCATCTTGTAATGTGCTCCAGGGAAGATGAAGGTCTTCTAAGGTTTAATGAGATTCTGTTGAGAATTTCCAACTTGAGCTGGACTTGGCTCTTTTCTCTCTTTTCCACTTATTATTATTATTATTTTTAGTATTCCCCTTTGCAAGACGCAAGATGGTAATTCTTAAGACCCTTGAGTTAAAGAACCTCTTAGAGTAATCATTAGCACTGATCGGGCTAGGCTAGGGCAATGTCACGTAGCTGGATCTTATTGGAGTTAAAGACTCAAGGATTTATACCTTTCTGTCCCACTGGGCCTGGGCCATTTTTCCCCCCAGGTAGGGCAATCAGATTCCTATTGAAATAGCAGTTTCAAAATCAGTTTCATGCTGTCAACACTTAATTTCTATACTTGATCATTTTGACAATGTTCCATTGCTTATTTTTAAACCATGTCTGTGCGCTAAGATGGATGGAGATCCAAAATGCTAGATAGAGGCATAAGTTAGAGATCCTGTTGTCCTTATGATTGGAACTGAACCAATATGTTAAGTACTGTGGAGTCGGTTCAGACTCATGAACCAACATATATATATATATAACCTAGAGCTCTGCCCTCACTCTTACCCCGCTCCAGCTGCCTCCTCTAAGATAAACAAAAACCAAAAACCTAACCAAGTCAGTGCCAAGACAATGTTGAGAATGCAGGGATCTTTGCCATACAGATGTTTTATGGTACCTGAGCAAAATACTCAGGCATCAGTGTTGTGACTGATCTTAGAAAGATAAACCCAAGTAAGGATTAATTTAAATCACCACCACAGCAAACTTCTGGCATTACTCACCTAGGACCCTTTACAAGTGTAACACTTTGATCTTCAAAAGGCACTAGGGTCTACCATTGAAGTCTTTTGACATGCTAATAATCTTCCTCACAAGATTTACACATGTGTAGCTCTGATTCACACCATTTGTCACATCTCCTTTCTTATGTCTTTTTCTAGCTGTATGCTTGATTCACTTTCCCAAACTTGAAAAAAAGCGGAGGGGTCCCAAAGCCCCTCTCCCTCAGCCTTTTGAGGCCTTCTTGTGCTCATATATGTGTGTGCGTGTGTGTGTGTGTGTGTGCGCGCACATGTGCACGTGAGTGGATGCTAAATGCTAGTTAACAGGCAGAATGTGGGTTTAATGACAAAAAATCATGGTCCAGTTGATTCATTTTCTTAACCATAAACTATCCCTAAATCTAGGTTGTTTTCTTACATATATATGAATTTAAGAAAGAATGGCTGGTTCTATGGGCACCTACCACCACCACTAGAAGAAAAGCTCCAAGGGCTATGTAAGCAGGGACTGCAGCATTAGCTAAACTTATGAAGGATAGCATATCACTGTTGTAAACTGGATTGCAAGGCTGATCACAAATCCAGGTCCAAAAGGTCCCTTCTCCCCTTCACTTCTCACAGCATTGTGACTCTTAATGTCTGCTTTCTTTGTCAGTATCATGTCCCCTTTTGAAATTTTTATTATTTTGCCAAAATCCTCACCTATGAGGAGTCATGGTATGGCGCTGGACTGTAAAGTCAGTTTGAACTGCAAGGTTGGCAGTTCAACTCACCAGTCACTCCTTGGAAACCCTATACAGGGTAGCTATGTGTTGGAACTGACTAGACAGTGCTTAACAACAGCAACAGTTTCTGTGAGAGAAAAGTTGACCGGTCTCTCTCCTATGTAAAATGTCGTTACTATTGTTGTTGCTAACTGCTGTCAAGTCCGTTCCAACCCATAGTGACCCTGTATAGGGTTTCCGAGGAGAGCCTGGTGAGCTTGAACCACCGAGGTTCAAGCTGCCTTGCAGTCCAATGCACCAACCCACAGTGCCACACCAGTGTCTTCTATTATGGCCGAATCTACTTCAGTGGCCATAATTAGTGTAACGTGAAAGCCTGAATAACTACATCCTTTTAGCCCCAGTACTGGAAACATCACATCAAAGTTTCACAGACATTTTCATAGTAATAACCAGTAAGATTGTAATTGCCCACGAAAGGAATCATTTTGGCTGTTACAGAACATTTTGCAAGTTCTTCTCACTCTCCCAAATATTAGAAAATTGCTTAAAATCCTTACAGTGTCCACACAGCCTAGCATGCTATTTTATGGTTTGTCCTCAAGACAAGTGTCTACTTAAAGATACATTTAGGGGCTCTGTAATGCATATGGGAAAGGCCCACCACCCACCCTAACACTTCTCAGGTCTCAAAGTGTGTTCTCAATGAAGCAGTGCTTGTTAGGTGCGTGTTGGTGTCAGTGTTGGTTTTTTGTTGTTTTTGTTGGTGGTGATTGACTGGTTGGTTGATTGGATTGGGTTTTCAATCAAGGAGAGACTCACTTCACCGTGTCTTTTGATTTGTTTTCAAACACGCTTGCTTATTCAATGATTCTTTCCTTGTCATCCCAAGCTTCTGAACTGACTTTAAATGCTATACATTTGTGCCTTAGTAATCTGAAGTGATTAGAAATAAAATTGACGTATTGCATTCAGCTTTGCTCTTGAGAATTAAAGCTTTTCCTTTGGTTAATTTTTTTCCCCTAACATTAAAACTCATCCCTTTTCAGTCTTAAAAATAAGTAAATTCATAAATCGA